TCACCAATTCCCAGAGGAAACGTGAGACAAGGGGCAAACTCTTAAACAGAGCTGCTATAACTAGTGGCTAGGCCAAAAATATTAATCATCACATTTCAGGTTTTATATTTAAGGAAATATTTCTCTTCCAAGGCTCCCCCACCCTTGAAAAGCTGTGCAAGGAGCAAAGAGTAAGTGGACTTTAAAGTACCTCTCTCTCTCTCTCTCTCTCTCTGGCAGATCTGTGCAGTTATTGCTTGTGTAATCCCACGAGGCAGCTATAATCTTTAGCACAAATTCACAGGTGAGTGCACTGCTGCTCACAAGGTCGGTAATGAGCTTGTAACCCCCTCTTGGTCTACAAAGAGATAGGAACCATCTATCCTGGTGGCACCACCATGCGCCCTCATCCAGGGTCCCCATCTGACAACCCAACCCGGCATCAGCACACCAGGCAGGTCCCCACCGTGGAACCAGAGGTCAGTGTTCAGGTCTGTCTCGCTGGCCTCAGCTGTGGCACTACGCACAGGGGTCAGCCTGGCTCCCTGACTCACCTTCTTTCCTTGGCTGCTGAAAGCCACACCTCTTGGCTTTCAGCCATCCCCTCCCTTCCTTGGAACTTTGTGGCTTCTACTTTCATGGCTCCAACCACCATCCATCAGTGAGGTTTTCCAATGTCTATCTCCAGTGTGGACTTCTCCGAATTCCGGACTCACAAACCTGACCATCTACTTGACATCCCCTTGGGTGTCTAATAGGCATTTCAAATTTAGTGTATCCCATAATTAATCCTTCACCTCCCCCTCCCCGTAACGCATTCCCCCCTGGTCTTCTAGCTGAGGGTCCTCCGCCTTTCCAGGTGCTCAGGCTCCAATTAGCCTGTCAGCTGGACCTTCAGGCCAGAATCCGCCAGCTCTCCCCATTCCCCCGCCACCTCCCTGGATCACCATCTCTCAGCAACCTCAAGAGCATCCGCCTGCTCTCTTTGTCTAACTTAACAGCAGCCAGAGTGTGAAGACAGGCAGATCATGCCTCTCCTCTGTGGCAAGCTCTCCAGTGGTTTCCTCCCAGTGGAACTCAAACCTCAACTGGCCCTCCTAGCCTCCCGCCTACTCCCCCTCTTCCCCGCCGGCCCCCTCTCCCCCAACCTATCTCCTCTACTCCTCCCTGGCTAGCTCTGCTCCAGCTCCACTGGTCTCCAGGCCATTCCTCAAAAGCGCCACACACTCTCTCCCCTCAGGCCCTGCACTTCTGACTTTTCTCTCCATGGAGAACACTCCTCCCCTCTCCACTGGCTGCTGCCTCACTTCCTTTAGCTCTTGGCTCAGATGTCACTTTCTCAGTGAAGTTTTCCTGACTCCTCTAGTTAACACCCCCTCCCCACATTCCCTATTTCATTTTTCTCCATAGCACCCACGGTTTATCTAACTTACTCATCTATTATTTGTTTAATTTTTGCCTCTCTGTTGAAATGTAAGATCGCCCTAGTCAGTTTGGCTCAATGGAAAGAGCGTAGGCCTGTGACCAAAGTGTCCCGGGTTCGATTCCGGGCAAGGGCAAGTACCTCAGTTTCGGGCTCCGCCCCGGCCAGGCCTGGGTCTGGCCTCCTGCATTAGGCAATCAATCTGTGTGTTTCTTTCCTTCTCTTTTCTACTCTCCCTAAAAATCAACGGAAAAAAATATCCTCCGGGGAGGATTAACAAACAAACAAAGGAAGGTCAATAAAGGCAGGTGTTTTGTGGGTTTTGTTCAGGCTCTATCCCCAGTGCCAGGCACTGATGCATAGTAGGTGCTCAATGTTGTTGCAGGAATCAGGGTATGAACTCGCTTAGGACAGCAGCATTTGGGGCTGAATTAAGGATCCAAACATGGGCCCTCACACGGGTGAAGGGGGGAGTCCTCTTCCCAGGCTGGCCCAGCGGGGTGGACGGCAGTGGGGGGAGGGGG